AAAGAGCCTGTTTTATTGACAGCAAATATGAAACTGCATTCAGACATTGTATGAAAAAAGCCTGCTTGTAGATATAGTTAATAATTAACATGTATGTGCATAGAGCAGTCTTCAAGTGACTCTCTCAATCTAAAAGCCCCAAACAGCAAAAATCACGTGGGGGGAGAGGGGCCGGAAGACTAATTCAGGGCTAATTCATTAACTTGATGTTTTCAGTCAGTGACAGGCTCAGAGATGAGTACGTAATACAATATTGCATTCAGGCAGAATCTAGGCACAAGGAGTGGAAATTTAGTCTTACTTCCAGGTATGTGTCAGATCACTTGGTTTACACAGTGCTGGGTGTCTTGTTTCATTAATGAATGTTTAAAAACTTCATCTGTTAGTTCTCCAAATGTCTTCCTTTTTCTGAAGCTACCTTTGTAACAGTGGATGTTAGGTTAACGCTTCTAAAATCCTTGTTAAACGGAGTAAGACTATTGTCACATTTAATATATTACTGTTTTTTTTTTTTTTTTAGTATAACAGTAGAGAACATTCATGGCTAGCAGAAGAGTCTACATCTGGAAAGTAACAATGCTTACAAAATTACTCATTGCAACTGAGTATTGATCACATAACTACCATGACACAAACAATTCCTAAATCAATTCAGCAAACTGGAGAGGGCAGCAACATTATATGGCTTGTTCTAAACATCTGTTGTTTCCTTTTCTAAACTTGTCTGTCTTTCCTTAACCTGAACTCCAAAAAAAGTTTGTAATTAGTAACTGTGTAAAAAACTTCTATTGTTCATAGCTCTGTTTATTCTACCCCCCAGCAAAGCAGTCTCCATTGATCATCTCCCTCAGTATAGGCCATTAACCTTATCTTTGTTCTACAACTGCCAACAGTACAATTTACATAAAAGACAATTTGGGATAGATGTAACTCCAGTCAATTTCTTCTTACCTTTAAAGAGGAATTAAAAAAAAAAAACTAAACAGCAAGTCAATAGCAAAATGGACTGGAATGTTTGATTGGTTACAATTATAAGTAGTGGTGTGGAGTAAATTTAAAACACCATTCATTCCCTAAGGGGCCAGGACATGAAGCAGCTTGCCCCTAGTCTCTCCTTGCCCTGCCAATGACATCAGCCCTTGGGCAAGGTTAATCTCTTCCTGATAGCCTCTGCTTCTGCCCCTCCCATGCTTCCTTTTCTATTTTGAATGCTCTTCCAGGTATTTTGACAAGCCTCCGCCTTCCTTCCCAGGACTCCCACACATTACAGAGCTGGTTAGCACAATCACAGAGTTCAACCATTAACCAGAAGCTAAAAGAAATCAAACACAAAGCTCCCTGCAACCCTCCTTTCTCTTATTCTGCTAACTCCTCTTCAGTACAGGTCTTTTTCCCATTTTTTGAGGCTGCCAAAAGACACTGGGAATTTTTAGGAAATAAGATGGAGTGATTTTATCACAAAGAACAGTCTTGCAGGGAAGAGGCAACATTTTCTTAAAAACTACCATAAGTGGAAAGGAATCAACAAACACCACACAAACATTTAGGCACATAACTCCTGGCAACCAAATGTGGCATTTCTCAACGAATACAGACTGTATGCAATTGCTGGAAGCTTGACTACATGAATGAACTGAGACTTCCAAAGAATTCCTCGGCAGAGAGGAAGCAATGAATTTTAAATGAAGTCCAGACATGCTAGGTCTTGCAGACAGCACGCCAAAAGCAGAAAAAAACCAATAATCAGATTAGCTGTTGGTGAAAACTCTTATATAGCTAAAAGAACAACACACTGCAGTTTCTGTGCTGAGCTTGTGCATCCAGTAAAGCTACAGATGCCAATAGTCATCTTTCCAGAGCAGCCTGTATGCTCTCCTTCACTGATGATGGAGCAACAGTCTTGTGGGAAAAAAGTAATGCCCATAACACAATGGTTGTTATTGATACTGTCTGTTCATGGTCTGTATGAAAAGATTTTCCTTCGGCTACTTTTGGGAGAGGTGAGGCAAGAAACTATTAACATGATGTCAGGTGGGGAACCATACAACAATTTTCTTATTCTAGTAAGTTACAGAAGTAAAAAATAGTATGGAAGCATTATTTGTCTTGGGGCAATAGGCAAGGTCTGACATTATGATCAGAGATCATTCTGTGCCTCCACTGTCCAAGTGTGACAGTTCATGGGAGTCTTTGTCCTTACTTACAATTTGATGCAAGTATTAAAGCAAAAAATGAGTCACATCCTATGATTCATTTTATACACCAAGATAAAACTCATTCTAATGTGCTGACGATATTTATCTTCACCAGTTAAGATTAAATCCATTTGTTACCCACATACCTAAAACCAGGAAACTGTTTGCATAAATAGCAGTAGTATTACAGATGAAGGGCAAGGCATGTCAACTGTGAAACCTGAAGTGCTCCTACAGAATCCACCCTGACGGGCCAAATTTGCACAGAACCTTTCCAGTGTTTTAAGAAAGAATTCAAACCAATATGCATGTCTGTGGTCTTTAGCCTTATCATTACATCCTCAATTCACACCTTTACGTAATGAATTAAGGATTCTATGTGCAACTTTATTTTGGTAAAAACATTTGCATGAGATATAAGGGAATGGAGAATGAACCTCCAAATATAAATCAGAGGTACGTTGGTGATGATGTTGCACGCAAATTACTTAAGAAAATAATTTTTGGAAAAGTCAATTGGAAAAAAATAATTACACAAGCTAATTAAATGTGAGCAGGCAAAGAAATAACCAGGAGGAAGTATCCTCAATTCAAATATCCAGTCATCAGCATCTACACAAATGTGTTTAAATGGCTATCTGAACTACCAGGAGATTGATCTTAATACTATAAAAGTAAACACATGAAATCCCCCATATTTCCCTATTTTCAGTGTTCTAAATTCAGAATAGCAAAAAATCTTCTGTTTTTACCTTTCCTTTGCTTTTTTTTTAAAAAGGACCATCTTTTACTCTTCTACTTATGAGAGTTGAGAGTCATTGTATTTACCTCATCCAGTAAAGCTGAAATTTGCTTTGACTGAAAAACATGCAAACAGCATGCACAATTAACCAAGAGCTACTTCCAGTGAAATCGTACTCTATTTAGCAGTGGGAAATAGCAGGTAACAATGCTTATACTCTAAAGGAAAATAATGGGTGACAGTATTTATAGCTATTGCTTTTCGGTGACAAAATCAATCCTACCTGTTAAAGCTAGCCAGAGAATCATTCAAAACTAACCACAGCATCAGAGGAACCAAAAGAAAACAGCTTGCACTGAAAATCTCATACAATTTACCCGAATACGGTGCAATTGTTTCCTCATGCATTAGTCAACACTTTGTCCTTCCATTTTATAGGCAATTAAAACACAGAAGTGGTAATAATATAATAGTGCAAATGATGAAGTGTTCTTGCAGTTTATGATTTCTTTTGAATGTTTTTGTTTTAAGATCTGGAGTATATGATTTATTTCCTTCACATTTTTAACAGACTGATGAAGACAGCTTCATCAGCCTAAATACCATATTCGGTTCTAAGAAATTTCTGCCTCAGCACAGTGCCAAGGGGAGCCCTGTATCATGGTGATAAAAAGATAATCTAAGACCACTTACTAAAGAAATGCAACAGAACAAAATTAGCTCAAATTTTTGCTACCACGATCTTAATTTTGCTCAACTAAAAAAAATGGTATGCATTTTTACTCTTTGAAGAACATAAAGGTAGAAAAACAGAAATGCACAGTGACAGAATGAAACATTTGCAGATATATTGCTGCCCATATATCACATACTGGCCTTTCCAGTTCCATAAGATACATTCAGCCACATGTAAGGGGGCTACTTTTGAACTGGATGATCAATGGAGCATAGAGGAGTGAGAAAGAAATCATATTAGGATGTGAAACCAGCTAGAGTATGGTACAATGTAACTTAATGGCACAAGCTAATTGTAAGGTCCATTGTGCTTTTTAGCAAGTCAGCATGATATCCCCTGTTATCAGAGCTGAGTTCTTCTTTGGTTTTGCTACATATTGCAAGACAGATACATCTACCCTTGAAACACAATGGTAGAGGTCATACATAGGGGTGAGAAAGATGATGATGGGAGGAAGATTATGTGGGCAGGGGTCGCTGGCCCCTTGCCCCACAGGTACGGCATGCACAGACTGTTGCCATTAGGTAATGATTAGGCAGTGTTTGGCTGCCATTCAGGCATCACCTTATACTGTGTACTGGCCCTACATAGTGTAATGTGGAACTGATAAAAATGGGGTGTCGGGGCTGCTGAGCTGAGCAATACTCATCCTACCACCGAGACTGTGTTGCTCCACGGGGATGCCCACTAAGCATGGGTACCAACCAGCTGCTGCAGATCCTGACAGCCCTGGCCTGTCTGTGTGGGTAAGCAGAGTTTATTAATAGGAAGCAACTGAGAGAACAAACTTTTTAATATCCCTTTAGTTTCCCTTTAATTCCTCTTTTATGTTCATAATATTTCCCTTTAATTTCCCTTTTTACTAACCAATATTGTGTTAATAGTTATCCATAATATTATGTTAAGATCCCTTTTTTGGTATCCCTTTAACCCCCTCTTTTTTCACTAGTTAATACTGTATTAAATGCTGTTCGTAGTATTTGTTTTAATGTCACCCGATAAGGTAGTTATTTTGTATTCCTTTTTTTTTTAGTTTTTGATTCCTCTTGCTAAGTTGATTACTATTATTATTATTCTCACTGTAATAAAAGATATTTTGTGTGTTTGAATATTTCTGGCACTTGTCTTTATTCCAAACGAATGTATCCAAACGAACTGTTACACCACATAGACCTCTAAGTAATTTAAAGGTTAGCTCAAAACAAAAAAAATCCTAATATGAAACAAAGTAGAATTTAGAATTTGGAGAAAATAGCAAGTTCTGCAATACTAAGAGAAAAAAATGTCATTACATGTATTATGACATGTTCAATTTGACTGTGATGTGTTACTTGAAATAGACACAAATTTTAATGCAATGCATTCACAGTACCACAACTTATGCCAATGCAACTTACAGGCATTTCTTGGTTTTGGTGAATGTTTCACCAAAAGAAGTTTAGTGTTTGTGTGCTGGTTGGAAGTCACCAGGTGGGTCAGTCCGTATATCCAAACAAGACTACAGACAGTAAGAATTTATGACTTACTTCTGCAAAGAGAAAGCAAGGAATGAAGTGACAAGGAAGGGTGACCTCAACCACCTGTACTACATGGACACATATTCAAACAGCAGTACAGAAACTGAAAGACTGAACACTAGACCAAAAATATATTATTTTCATTTTTGTTGCACAACATACTGATGCCAAAAAACCCAACAAAATTAAGCTCTTGTACTTGAGAAACCAAGAAAGGGCTTTGCTTGATGTTATAGTCTTTAAACTTCCATGAGGTAGAATGTCATCAAGTATCTTCTTTCCCAGAATATATTAAACAGGATAAATCCAATTTAGTTTTTAATGCTGTTGAAAATTCTTTTGATAGTAGTTCATGAAGGGATACTCGGTCATGAGAATACACCCAATTCCGTCCAGTCCAGTCATAGCGCTTGGGCCCACTAGAAAAATAACAAAACCAAAAACATCATACACTGTGTAAATACAGATTATTCAAGAAGACTTGCTGGAAACCTGTATTTATAATGTATGCCAGAGAGTGCCCGGGAAAAGGAACAGACAGCATTGGGAATGACTGGTGGACAGTCTGGGGAAGTAAAGCAGAAAATGCCAGGTATGTCAGGAACTACTGAGCCATCAAACAGATATACGTGAAAGGTGACAAGATACATCAGTCACTCCCAGTGGAGACAACCTCTTTCCTTTCTTGCTTTTGGCACTGATTTCCCCACAATTTCTTCCTTTACCCCCTTCTTCCCTCATTCAAATGACTTTCTTGCACACAAATATCACAAGGGATATTTATAATGCTGAATTAATGCCACTGATTAGTTTCTGCTCCAGTCACATGCAGATATTCTAACCACAGCAGAACAAAGATCACCATTTTCACTTTCTTTTTAGATGTAACAAAATAATTTACCAGCTGAAAGCAAATATATTGGCATGTGGCAGACTTGTACCTAAAATGCTATTTTCTTCTGTTTTATCATATTGTTGCTGGCTTGATTTTTTCAGGCCTACATTAAGTATCAAGAAAGAAACTTGAACAGCTGCATTCCATTCCAGACCTTTCTATCCACCCAATTCTCCACATGTGAAATAGGACAATGACTGAAAGGTACTCACTACTGTTAATGTCAACGAAACCAAGAAAATAGGAATGAAAGCTTCATCTGGAATAAACCAGATGATAAACATATCTTGTACAATAATATGTCCTTGAACTCAGACAGTCAACATACAAGGTCTGGCAGAAAACAGACTATCCTATATATATATATATATATATGAGAACAACCTGCAGATTCTCTACAAACATAAACACTACCCTGAACCTCAATATTCTGAATTACTCCCAAGAGCCAAATGAAGAACTTTCCAACCACTAATCACAGTATGAGAAGTCATAAACAGAAGCACAAATCGAAATCACTTTCATTGAAATCTCCCTGGCTGTATCAGAACTGGTAACTGTTTGGAATCAAGATTATGTGCTCCAGTTACTTTACCGTGCATTTCTCATTTCTTAGCCTTTGTGGTACAAGCGTATGTTTATACTGTCCTGTACCTAGAGAATGACAGAATGGGATCCAGTTATCCATGAAACTCAGCCTAAGACAGACCATTTAATCAATAACAAAGAAATATGTACGTTATCTGAAATGGTTTTAAATGTTATGCAGTAAATATTGGTGATACTGGTAGCATATGAAACACCTCCATAGTTCTCTGAACCTCCAAAATGCTGTACAAATGTGACTTTTAAATTTAAAATTAATAATTAAGGCAAAGATCCTGTGAACTCTATGAAATGCCTACTAAATTAAATACAGACTAAATGTATTTCTTATGGAAAATCTGCATACCCTTTTAAACAGTAAGAGAGAAGAATTAAAATATCACATTAAGATGATACTATATAAGTTTGAAAAGTCTTTTCAGTCAAAGGAGCTACATGAAATTACTGTAGTCACACTGCTGGCAGGTTGCACACATCCCCTCACAGCTCTTATTTGTAATTGTCAACTAAGTAAACTTTTTACTTTGATGTGTAGATGCACAATACCAAACAGAAGGTTAAAAAAAAATTCCAAGAAAACATCTCTTACACATCTTAAGAATTCGTCTCCCTTGGGATATGTTCTTAAAGACTCAAGAACAACATTTACTGTACAAATGCCCCAAAACCTTCAATGCAAGTGATTACTGACAGCAACATTTGCTTCTTTCACTTCCCAGCATATTGCAGCTGGGAGGATGTCAGTCCAGATCATACAGTATTTGCTGGAGTTGCCTTTCAGAAGTGAGGAAGCAAGTGAACATATAGCATCATATTTCAGGAAATACCACTGTTTACCATAATATCAGCTAACAGAGTACAAAACTTAATGTTTTTAGGTGAATAATTTTTCATCATGGTGAAAAATACCATCAGAGACTTTTCAAGTAGGTCTCTTGTGTATTTTTATTCACTACTGGAGCAATCAAAACAAACAAAACCATACACACAGAACGAAAACTCCCAAAACCCACAACAAACAAACAGACAAACAAACAAAAAAAAAAAGGAAAAGTTTTTCAAACACTCCATATTCCATATGCTGGAGCACATCAGTATTAGATCAACTAGAGCTGGCTCCAAACAGACAGAAATTATCTGAATTTCGTTTTTCATAAATACTGAAACCTTTGTGTTAGTGATACAAAAATCTTATAAACTGCTTCCTTCACCAGTAACACTGACCAACTCCCTCAGTTCTTTTCCAGGGATAGTGGCAAAGAATAAAAACTTGGGGGGGGGGTGGGTGGATGACACAGCTACAATGTTTTCTCACTTATCTGGTTGCCCTCCATGCTGAAACCAATCAGAAAACCTGGAACGGATCAAAGCACAGCGTTAGAGAAGGCCAGAGGAAGCAGCTAGCTAGGGCTCCCTTGAAGTGCAGATGCTTGACAAAAACAAACAGTGTGAGTACAAACATATAAAGCAGGAAATCCCTCAAGCTTAAAAGGGAAGGAGCCACCCTGTTTAAATACAAAGAAAGGTTTAGATCATAACATCATCATCAGTCTTTTTCCAACAGAAGCTTTGTTTGTTTGGGCTTTTTTAATCATTGCTGTGTATTTTTTCTGTAAGTAGGTTATAGTCCTGTAGACAGTGGTTTAGGACCGGAACAGTCTATGAAAATTCTGCATTACACATTTCCTGCATTAATTTAGGTATGTCAGTGTACTGCAGTGCACCCCAAACCTCTACAGCAAATCACAATTGAACATCTAGATTATATCATGTTTTGAGAATATACAGACCTAAAGGATTACTTATGAAAAGGATATGACATGATCCATGCCATGCTATAAAAACAAGGAAGTACATTTCCACTCAGTCTGCAGACATTACGTTCATAACTAGCACATAACTTACCTAGTGGGTGAGGACAGCCAAATCTGACGGTTTGGTGTTTGCTTATTGATAACATATGTTCCCATGTCACCACCTAATTTAACTGTTAGTACTCCACTCTTAAAAGATAAAGAAAAGTGAGAAATAAATATTTGCATTCTGTTAATTTGAGAACAATTACTTCATCTGCAGTGGCAGAAATTTAACATATCTGTATCACATTCTCAACTATTTCCTAAACAGTAATAGCTTGGAAAAATGATCATTAGGTATTCATAACTTGTCTTAATACCTAGCACAAGCTGCATATCTTTGAGTCTGATCTACATTTTAAACTGTCTGGTCAGTTTGATTTTAGTTTGTACCATTCACAACAGCACTACGTAAATGACACTCTTGGGCTTTGACTTGGCATCTTGAAAGGACCATTAGTTCATTTTGCAACAATTAAAACATCATCCAATAACAACTTTTTTCTATTCATGAACAATGCAGAACTGGTGTGGTTACAAGTCAGGAAGCTTTATGTGTCATTGCAGGATTTCAGAGCCATGTAATTTTACCTTACTTTTCTTAAGTAACTGTAACAGTTTCGCAGGGAATAAACACAATTTTTTCTCAGTAATTCTGATTCATACCTCAAAAATGTTCCAATTCTAAACTCCATGAGGTCTTCCGGTTTTGTTTTAGTTATTCCACCTTTAGACCATTATCCTAGTGAGCATTTCTTTTCTCTTCCTTGCTCACATTTCTTACTGACAACATTGATTCACATTTCTCCCAACTGAGAAAAATATTTTCTGTTCCAACTTTAAAAGTAAAAAAACAACACTACTTGGACTACAGTTAATTTACAGATTGTCTGAATTACTCTAGTTGAAAAGGGAAACATTTCTACAGAATGGAGTGTGATGATTTAGATAATAGCCTAGTCATATTTAATTTGCAGTGTCTAAAATGCTTCAGGCCCCACAGCACAATAAAGCTTCTTTAAGGGAATCATGCTTTTCATGCTTTAGTAAGAAGATACTGCTAGAGCTACAGTCAACTGCTAGGACTATTTGCTATGTGTAAGTACTTACTATGAGGGAAAAAAATATTTTCATATAAGAGTATCTACTGCCTGCTACTCTGTAGCACAGGCAGCAGCTCAAAGTTTCCTTCTCCCACAAAGTAACTCAGTGTTACTGGTTTCTAACTTATCTCAAGGATCACCAGCCACAAAACAATACTCTCGGAATCTGAGAACAGGCTGCTTCTCTGCTTGTTAAGTGATTTATGGCTGTGATCAGTACAACAAAAATAAAAGGCTCTCCTGGTTCATACTGCCATCAGGTTGTCCTTCCAGTTTATTTATTGGATATCAGTATTCTGCAGAGAAGGATGTGAACAAGCTATTTCTTTGGCTGTCAGAATTTAAACTTTTCCATATCTCAGGGGTCTCAGAGTTGTAGAGATACAGCACAATAAGAGGAGGATGAAGGATTAAGCCTGAGTAGCTATATACAGGTTTCACTATTCTTCTATGTGTTCTTTAGTGCCATATTAAGTATTCACCATGATAGTATCCTTTATGCTACAGAAACACTCTAATTAAATAGGTTTTCAAAGAGTTAACAAAAATTTATAGTACTGACTACATTGTGTGTCAGCTCTTAGAGAGTACTGTTGCTCTGTCATTGCAAAATAAACAAAGGTTAACTTCTACTGTTGTGTTGAAAACATTTTCCCATACATTTTTCAATACTTCTGAAATACTAGAAAATACAATTTGAATTTTTAATAACTTAAATTGCAAGATACTTTTACCATATGTTAAGAAATATTGCTGTATGTGTTTTGTACTCCTGAGTGAATGTTCTTGGTAACAAGAATATTCTTTGAAAGAGATTTTTTCCCCCTGGACATGAAGAAATCAAGTTCACCATAATGGACAGGCACAACAGACCTTTATCACGATTGCCACCTTGTGGCTTCCTGTAGCAACAGTCTTGTTTGTTTGGAATTACAAGCTGGGACCACTTAAAACTTCTGCTCTTAACAGAAACGACAGCACATTATTAATTGCATTAAACAGTCTATGCAACAAAGGACCACTGGTAAAAATTACCATGTAAAAATATTACCTTTTTAACCTCACAATGAGTCAATGTCAAACAAAATCCACCATACAGTGGATGGAGAAAAAAATTATTACATAAAATGACTCATCACCTTCACCTTAATGAGGTGTCTATTAAATAGGCAAATTTTAATCTTTTTACTAATTTTTGCCCTAAGCTCTTTACATCATGCTAATAGGTGCTGATATCCTAAAACATACTGAAGAGTAGTGGTTAAAAAATACTTTTTACCAGGAAAGCAATTAGCTGTAACATTAGCTACATACTTAAAGCAACAAACAGTATTTGCTAAACAGAATGCTACTAACAATATGTTATTTTATATCCTAGTTATCAGAAACAAAAAAAGAACATTACGATGACAAAGCTACATAGAAGCAAGTTCAAAATTATTTGGTTTCCTATTTTGCACAGTGCAATCCAAACCACCTGCTTCAACGACCTTGAGCATAAGACTTTAACTGATAGGGCCAGTAGAAAGCCATCTCCTTGTGGTAAGACATAAAGAAGGAGTAGTAGTTATGTGACCTCAAAAAAATGTAGTAATCAAAGACGTGTGTTACAGACAGCAGTGTAATGACTTCTCCAAGTTATGTTGAGGGCTGTAACACACAAACACAAACCACTTCAGGAACTGAACTCATATAAAAACTAAAAAATTCCCTATACAAATAAAATAGACATTTCTAATCTGAGTCCATCATTTCTGTAAAAGAATTTGGGTGGCTGACCTACTGAAGTCTCCAGTTATCAGGACAGCAGCCACCCAATGTCTCCTGTGACAGCAGCCTTCTCCCCATTTACGCTCTGGTCTCTCTTCTGCAACCACTTACCCCAACACTGCATTATCTTGTTGCTTCTCTCCACCATAGGCTGTCATCAGTAAAGCTAAGACAAACATACTCTATTTGGTCAAGACAAATGCTACTTCTCAGTATTCGGGGCAATCAAAGAAACTGCTCTAACAGTTACACATTATGTAAATGTACTATGCCATGTAGGCTTGTCCTAGTATTCGCCAGAAGGGAACTCATTGCTATGTCAGATGTCTATGCCTGTTTAGAAAAATTTATAGTCTACTGTCTATAGAAATTAGAAACCAGTTTCCACCTCCTCTTGTGTTCACTTATTCTATATTATGCCTTTCCCTATATATGAAACATTTTAAATCCTCAAATCATACAACAGTATGTGTTGCTTTTTACCAGAATTGTTGCCCCAGTCAGTAAAAGGAGCCATATTTTAACAATCAAGCTGTAAGTACTAATTGTATTTTAAGTGTCAGCACTAAGGTGACTAATCTAAATCTAATCTCTTTCTAATAAAAAAAAACCAACAAAAATCAACCAACAACAATTACAGTGGCAATATAATGTTTAAAACTTACCCCTAAAGAGACATCATAATCTTCTGGAGTAAAAGGCTTATCTGTCAGGTCCTCAAAGAAATCTGCTAAGGAGTCCAGTGTTTCTTCAGCCAGTTTTTCATAAGTGGTCTCATCTAAAGAGCTACAAATGACATAGAAGCCCGTAATTAGGAGGAAAAGCATGGAAGACACCATTTTCCCTTTAATAAAAACATACCAAGACCATGACCTTGGATGAAACAGTAACCATGAAATGACTGTATAAAACAAGTAGTAATTTTTCTTAAGGTGATATAGATAACAGTGCACCTTATAACTGGCGGTGGAATTTTGAAATTTTTTCCTCTTAACTGAGGAAAATATACTTCTTTCCTTAGATATACTAATCCCTGTTTTAGTAAGGTGAGACAGATTTCCAAAAAAGGCATTTTCATAAATGGACCTTGTGCAAGGATTACTTTGTTTTGAACTCTACAAACAGAGACAAAACCACCTCCTGCTTAGAAATATGTCATTTGGCTCTACAAAACTTGCTGAAGCTATAAGGAGTTAAGAAACATCAATATCACATGCCATGTTTATGTACAGCACTTGCTTTCTCAACTGGAATTACCAACACAGCCTAGTAATTAGATGCTATTTAAAGTGTGCTTCTGAACTAATACATACAATTAAAGTCTTCTTCAGAGAGTCTCAAAGCATCCTTGTAGCCATTATATAAGGTGTATGTAAGTACCTGTGAGACTGCTTCTGTCATCCTCTTTAGTGGAAAAAAGTCTAGATCAGTTTAATTAACCAAGTGTAATTAAATCACATAAGTTTTTCCATTTGTATTAGTGTCAACTTTAAAATAAGTGTGTAGGTGGGTATCTCTACCAACAGACAATTCAGTAAAATAATCTCAGTTCTTGCTAATGGGTATGGCAATACAACAGTTACATGGACTGAGTATCTAATATAGATCAGTTGATAATACACAACAATGTTTTCTAAAAAAGTGTCTTGTGAGCCAGTTACTGAAATATACTCTGCCACTTATGTGAGAGACACCACAAAAACGTCTTGGGACATGGACAATGGAAAGCCTTAGGATCAGGCAGGATTCATGTACTGGTTCAAGATGCAGTTCAGGCACTTAATGGCAAGAGCCACTTTAGACACCCACACAATCCTTCACTGCGTCTCCAGCTGCTGCATTAGAAGGGGAGAAGCCTTTGACAGATGCTGTGTCACACCCTCTCAGTATCAGAAGAAACTTCATACCCCCTGACATACATGAAATTGTGCTAGACACCCACGTTTAGGTACATGAATTATTTCCTAAGTGACTTCCCAAATTCACACAAAATGCTTTTAGATAAAACTGTAGTTGTCCTTTAAATCACATCAGCATTAGCCTGGTAGTCTTAACATGTATATAAGTAATTTTAAAATACATAAATGATATTTTCATATGAGTATCTCAAAATACATTTTACCTTGTGTCACTCAGAGTTCCTGCACTTCTCAAATTCATGAACCGAACAGTCCTGCTCTTCACATCTGAAGAATACTGTAAGTGCTGTTGAAAGTAAGCAAAAGTAAAATGCAATTAGAAGTTAAAACATGAAGAATTAGAAATTACGTATTTATCACATAAATTAAATAGATCCTTGAAGTCTTTTCCATCCTCAAGTAAAATGTTCATATTCTAAATCACAGAGCTATTATGGAAAGAATTATGCAGCTTTAGTCCTTGGGTGACTGAAGCAATCTAGGACACTCTTGTCTTTCTCATACAACCTAATGAAAAAACCCCATCCTTTGACTGATAGCAAAGTGAACTAGGAAAGAGAACTGCTTTCTTTTCTATTGGTCTACCACAGAAATACTGAATAACTTCAGACAACTGGTTTAGGTCCAGATTTTCACAAGCATCCACCACTCAAACACTGCAATATCAACAACTTGCATCCCTCTTTTGGAAGCTACGAACATATTAAACTGATATAAAATAGAGCCACTGAATACTTATGTACAAAAGAGCCAAAACTACTTCACATTTCAGAGCTCTCTGTGAAACAAGCAGTTTAGCTTCTAATTTCTCTTGGTATGGGGAAAAAAAAAAGTGCCTTAAAAACCAAAGCAAAGTTACGGAAAAGCTGTATCAACGTACTAGCAATATCAGACAAGACAGCAAAATGGGGATGCAATACATGGATAATGATAAAGCTGATCCCCAGACTAGACATACTAGCAGAAGCACGTATTCTATCCACCAAGAAAGAAAGACAGCACACTTGCCATTTTCTTCTTAACCAGAGCCGACCGCTTGAATAAACGGTAAAAGAGCATTATTGATTGCTTTTTGTGTACTTGTGCAAGGTTGTGAAAACTAACAGACTGAGCTGAAAAGCAAGTGACATTTGAAAGGGAACTATGACAGCCCCTCTTCAAGCACAGGAGAGCAAAACACAGACCCATCTCTCTCCATGGGGTTTGACACCTATCCGCAGGCACTACAGATGAACTGTCTGTTATCCAAAACCATGACACGTACAGAAAGGACGGAGAACAGCGTGACAACGCTACAGGTCGACAAAAAACACGGCGGTGCCTACGTTTCTGACTGTACCCTTCAGCATTCTTTAACACACACTTAGAATCAAAAGCTACAAGCCCAGGAATATGTTCAGGTTCTGTCCAGGCTGAGCGGCTCCACCTCCATCAGTGTGTGTTCTCACCCTCGGTTCGTGGCTGGGGGCTGCCAGCCGCGGTGCCGGCTCATAGCCAGCATGGCCTCCAGCGCACGGCCCGTGGCTGTCGGGGCGGACAGCGCGTCTGCTGCGACTGGCAAGGGGCTGCAGGGCAGTGAAACAGCTCCCGGGCTGACAGGTCCTGGCGGAGGGACGGCACGAGAAAGGGACAAGAAAGGAGGGAAGGAGAGAGGGAGGGAGAGAGGACGCGCCGCCCTACCGGTCGGCCGCGGGGGGCCCGGCGCAGCCGCGAGCTCACAACAACCTGCTCGGAGTCGGCGGCCAGACCGGGAATCGCCGCCAGACTCCCTCTGCTCCCTGTCCCCCGCCCTAGCGGGTGCTCGGCCGCGACCGCCCCGCCCGCCCCCGCAGGCCGCGCCTCGCCGCCCCCGCCCGCCTGCTCCTGTCTCACCGTG